AATAAGGAAAAAAATTAAGGGTTAAACACAATATATTTCATTAATAATTTTATTTTTAAAACAAAATGTCACCACTCTATATATCTACGTGAAAAATGATGTTAGAGTGTCCTGATTATTACTAGACTAAATAAAAGAATAATAAGAATAAAGCTGCTTATACATTAAATGGTTAAAAACATTTGTGATCACGGCTGCATACAAAAAATTAAATGTTATTACCTATAGATCACTTAATTTTTTAAATGTTAATGATGTGTAAATCCAACAAGGAAAACTCATATTTTTTTAATCAATTAATACATTAAAAAATTAAAATTACTTAAATGCCCTCATCCTCATCCTCCAACCTTTCTTTCTCTTTCTCCTGCATCTCCTCCAAGCTCCAAGCAAACCAACAACTTCGAAAAATCTAGCAGCTCAAAAAAAAAAAAAAAATCAATGGTAAACCCGGATTTTCATGACAAAAAAAAACAAAATTTTTATGTTGAAAGCTTCAATTTTCCTTGGATCTGTAAAAATAATTGTGAACCAATTTGACAAAATCTTGTCTCCCTCCACCTCAAACCTTCCCCTCTGCAACAATCATTCTCCTTCCTCAAATTTGTAAAAAACCCAAAATTTTTATATTGAAAACTTCAATTTTCCTTCCTTAGATTTTGTAACTTCTTGTTTCTCAATTCCATAATTAAAGATTTTTCCATCCAAATTAGAAAATAAAAAAAAAAAAAATCTCTACTTTGCTTAGATTCTGCTCTGCAAACTTTGAATCTTGTACTGAAGCTCGTGTCTTTTTCTTCATCGCCAGATCTGGGTTTGAGAAAAAAACCCTGGTCTGGGTTTGAGAAAATCATCTAATTCCATGAGACAACCTGCACATTACATGAGACAAGGGAGGGAATATGAGAAAAGGCTCTAGAATATTCATACTACAGTAATTACTGAAATTCATCATTTCAAACTAATAAAAATTATATCACAATAACCATTTCATTGCACCTAAACCAAGAAAAATTCAAGATCCAAAAACAAATTATTCGCAGGGAAATTAAATCAAGTCAAAGTCGACATCATCTAAAATTAATTGAAAAGGAAATTAAAAAGAAAAAAACCTGTTTGGCGAGAAGTTCTCTCTCAAGGTTGCCGGTAGCAAAGAAAGAAGAGTCGGGACCAAAACGTCAGCGAACGAAGGCCCAATAAGGAAACAACAGGTCGGTTTCAGAGTCCAGAACCATAACCACAACTTGGTGTTGTTGGTACAAGCAAAGAAGCGAGATACCGATTTCGAATTTGAAAGGAACGCTGATTAGATTTAACAGAAGATGAAAAGCATCAGTAATTACCTAGCAACTTTCACCGCAGCCGCATACAGCAAATCCCAAGTTCCTGGCGACGAGGGGAGTCGCGATTGACACTTAGGGCTACCACGGATAGACCACTACATGTACCCACAACCACTTCCCACCGCACACAGCATCCATTGGGGCGTGTCCTAACTCAAATTTT